ACAAATGCGGATCTCTTCCAGTCAGCCAGATAGTTGTCTTCCAAATTTCTTGGCATAGATGAGGGAGTGCCTCTTGTGCCGCCTCACTTTCTTGAAAGATTTCAATTTGTATTCTATCAATTCCTGGTGCCTTGTTCTTTGCCAATTCCTTCAATGCACCTTGGACTTCTTCCTTCAGTATAATTGGCTCTTGATCATATGCTACCTCTTGAAACGGTTGAACATCAACGATTTCCTTTTGGTACAGTGACTCTGTGTATTCCTTCCATCTTCTTTTGATGCTTTCTGCATCATTCAATAATTTGCCCGGAGAATCCTTCAATAATGAAAGTTGAGGCTTGAATTTTTTCTTCAGCTCCCCCAGCTTGAGAAGTGCTGAGTGTTTTCTTCCTTTTTGGTTTTCTGACTCCAGATCTTTGCACATTTTTTTGTAATATTTGACTTTGTCTTCTCGAGCTGACCTTTGAAATTTTCTGTTCAGCTCTTGGAACTCCTCATTTCTTCCATTTGCTTTAGCATCTCTACACTGGAGAGCAAGTTTCAGTGTCTCTTCTGACATCTATTTTGACCTTTTCTTTCTTCCTTGTTTTCTTAATGACTTTTTGCTTTCTTCATGTATGATGTTCTTGATGTCATCCCACAACTCTTCTGATCTTCGGTCTTTAGTGTTTAATGTATCAAATCTGTTCTTAAATGATCTTTAAAATTCAGGTGGGATATATTCAAAGTCATATTTTGGCTCTCATGGACTTGTTTTCATTTTCTTCAGCTTCAGTTTGAATTTGCATATGAGTAATTGATGGTCTGGTCCACAGTCTGCCCCTGGCCTTGTTTTGACTGATAATATCAAGCTTTTCCATTGTCTTTTTCCACAAATGTAGTCAATTTGATTTCTATGTATTCCATCTGGTGAGGTCCATGTGTATAATGATCTCTTATGCTGTCTAAAGAAGGGTACATTGCTACAATTTGATGAACTTGACTTATACTCATGGAGGTAATAGCTCTAAATACCAGCAGAGAGGGAAGGAGTCTTCACATCAGGTATCCCCTCTGTACACAGGATAGATAGGGACGAACAACTTAGATATTGGCTACCTAAAATGAGGGGGCAATAAAGGCACGAAGTGACTGACTGACTTACAAGGTTTCAAGAGGGAGTTTAGTTTAAGAGTGTGTGAGGGAAGATAGAGTCCCCACGAAATAGTTTTCATCTTGTCTAGATGGGTCTGGTAAAAAGAGATATAGATAAGATTCTTATGATTCAATAGTGAATAATTGTTATCATGACTAATTGTGGCTGTCACAACTGTAAAGGTAGAAGTTTTGCAAAACAAAAATGGGGGTGTAGTTAATCTTACCATCCAGAAACAGAGGACCCTAGGTCCATCAAGGGAGAAGAGCACAAGCAGAATGTAGGACCTTATCCAGAGAATCAGCGACACCAGTGACAGAGGCAGAGATGGGGACATGGAGAGAGGGTACAGCTGAGTACTCTAGATTCATGGGAAGAGAGGGACTGAGAGCTGGCTGCCAGCAGGCAAACTTGCAGAATGTGCCTTTTGGAGGTGTAAATTATTATGTATGCCTGAGTGTTTAAAAAAAAAAGAAAGAGAGAGAAATACTATTAACTGATGGTACATGGAGGGGATTATAATCATTATAATGAAACAAGGTATATGATTTGTTGAATATAAAACTGATAATCTGCCTTGTAAACTTTTATTCAATTCATAATAAAAACATTAAAAAAAAAATGAGTGTTGAATTTTGTCAAATGCCTTTTCTGCACCAGTCAATATGCTCATGTGGTTCTTTTCCCTTTCAAAATTTATATAGTGGATTATATTGGTTGTTTTTTTAGTCTTGAACCATCTTCACATCCCTGGTATAAATCCCACTTGGTCATGATGTATTATTTTTCTGATATGTTGTCTTTGAGTGTAAGGTGTGTCTATTACAGATAGCATACTGAAGGATCCTGTATTCTTACCCATTCTGCTGCTTTCTATATCTTGACTGCTTTCTATATCCATTGGCATTCAGCATTAATTATTGTTAGGTATGAATTGATTGCATTATTTCTTGTGTGTGTTTTTCATGGTGCTGCTGGTTTCTTTGTTCCACAGGTTTTTCCTGTGCTGAGTTCACTTTTTGTGTGAGTGTGGTGCTTTATCTTGTTAATTTCTTCATCATCTTAATATTTACAAAATCTTCATGGATTTTCTTTTTCTTGACTTGATGTGAAAGTGTATTATGTTTCTTTGAGGTTACCCTGTAATTTATTAATTTCTTCCCCAAATTAAAGTAGTTTGTTTTTATCTTGAAATTGACTTGACTTCCTCACCATTTGACAGTCTGTAACTATGCTTTCCCGTCTTTTTGCCCGGTAGTTGTCTTCATTATTGATATCTCTGATTTCCTATCTTCAGTCTTGTAGGGTTGTTTTACTCTGGATAGTTCTATATCTAGATTGAATTCTGGGTGGTGCTGCCATGTATATCAATCTATGGTTGTTGTCTGTTGTTGTTGGTTCTCAGTCCAAAGGACTCCCTTTAGTATTTTTTGTAAAGTTGGCTTGGTTTCTACAAATTCCTTTAATTTCTGCTTATCTGGAAATGTTCTGATTTGCTGTCATATGTGAGGGACAGTTTTGCTGGGTATATGACTCTTAGTTGGCAGTTGTTTTCTGTCAGAATTTTGGATATGTCTCTTTGTTACCTTCTTACCTGCATGGTTTCTGCTGATAAGTCAGGACTTAATCTTATTGGTTTTCCTTTGTAGCTAACATTTTGTTTTTCCTGAGCTGCTTTCAGGATTCTTTCCTTGTCTTTGATTTTGGAGCGCTGGATTATGATACGTCTTGATGATTTTCTTTTGGGGTCTATCTGCCTGGGGTTTGTTCAGCTTCTTGAATACTTATCATTTCAACTTCCATGATTTAGAGAAATTTTCTTCCAGCAGTTCTTTAACTATCTTTTCTGTGGTTTTGTCTCTTCTTGTTCTGGAATTCTGATTACCCATAAGCTTATTTGTCTTCATGTTGTCCCACATGAATGTTAGACTTTCTTCACAGTTTTTCATTCTTTTTTTCTGATTGTTCTTCTATCTTACTAGTATTGAGAGATTTATCTTGAAGTGTGCTAATTCTGGCTTCCATTTATTCAATTCTACTCCTTTGCACTTTCAGTGTATTGTCCATTTCTGATACCTTAGTATTGATCTTCTGAATTTCTGTTTGCAGGTTTTGTGTTGTCTCCAATGTTGTATCTTTTTTTTTTTTTTTTAACTTTTTATTGTGAATGGAGTGAAGATCATCAGAGCAGATCACCAGTTTTACACCCAACAAATCATATACTTAGCTTCATTACAACGACTGCAATCCTGTCCATGTACCAACCGTTAACAGTATTTACCTCTATTCACTTTGGATTACTGGTGTAGCACTGTAGGATCAGCACTAGACTGCAAATCACAAGGTTGGCAGTTCAAACCCACCAAGCTTAGTCTTATTGGTTCTCCTTTGTAGGTAACTTTTCATTTTTCCTAAGCTGCTCTCAGGATTCTTTTCTTGTCTTTGGTTTTGGAGTTTTTGATTATGTTAAGTCTAGGTGATTTTGTTTTGGGGTCTATCTTGTTTGGGGTTTGTTCAGCTTCTTGAATGGTTGTTCAGCTTCTTCATGATGTTAGGGAAGTTTTCTTTCAACAACTCTTCAACAATTTTCTCTGTGCTTTTTATTGTCTCTTCCTGTTCCCTTCCAGTCACCCCTGAATGTCCTCTTCATGATGCCTCACATAACTCTTAAACTTTCTTCAGATTTTTTTCATTCCTTTTTCTGATTGTTCTTCTAGCATACTAGTATTGAGCGATTTATCTTCAAACTCAATAATTGGGCTTCCTTTTCAATCTATTCCTTTGTCCTTTCAAAGTATTGTTTATTTCTGAGATCATAGTATTAATCATCTGGATTTCTAATTGCAGGTTTTGTGTTGTTTCAAAATTTGCATTTATTTTATCTGTTTGTTTTTATAATGTTTTCCTGAATTCTTCTAAAGTTTTTACTACATTCTCTTGCTTTCCTCAATTTTTCTATCGATTCTTTCTAATTATTTTTTCAGTCAGTCCCGTTACTTTTCCTTCCTCAAAAGTGTTTTCTGGCTATGCATCTTGGTCATTTGTTTGAGCCATCCTATCATTTGTTCGTATGAGTTTTAATTGTCTGTTGTTTTCAGGGATCACGGGGTTGTCACATTTGTATTTAATTGATGATTACCTGTTAGTGTGTTCTCAGGCTTTCACCAACTGTCTCCTGTGAGTATAGTTAGAAAATGCAAGTGTGTACACTGTTCTTGTTTGCTGTTCATGCATCTCAGTTTAGGGTGGGAAGAAAACCATTTTTAAAAATTTATTGCAGTTACTATAGCACTTGAGCCATTGTCCATGCCAATATTGAATGTCTTTATGAGTACAGTGCTTGGGAGGTGAATTCCCATACCCCTTCTCGGGATCTCATTTCTTTGAGCTTGCTCATGTTACTTCTTCTAACATTGACCTTGGCTGCTTCGTAGCTCACAGACACTGGCCACTTATGGAATAACTAATATTTTCCTCAAACATGTGTAATATCACCTCTGATATCAATCCAGATGTATGTGTGTGTTTTCTTTTTCATTGTCCTGTTTGTCTATCCCTGGCCCACACTGTATCTCATTTATTCCTCACAACAACCCTATGTAGTCCTTCATTACAAAGGAAGAAACAGAGGCCCCAAGAGGTTAAGTAATCTGTCCAAATCACATAGCTAGTAAGTAATAGAGTTTGGGATTGAACCCAGGTGGTCCCTCTGTGCCTGCAGGTCACAGTTTCACACACTTGCTCATGTCTCTTATTTCACTGGCTCTCCTCATGCTACTGTTTTACATAAACACATTTGTGTCTGGAGAGAAGGACGTGTGGAAAGACGTCCCATCGCCTCTCCCCACAACCATGGGACGCTTACATTATTGGCTTCTCGGACCAGCCTCTGTTCATTGTACAAAATGTGCCATATGCAGCGGACCAGCTCCATAGGGCAGCGGTCGTATGTGTTCTGGAGCTGCGTGGCATAGTTCCCCAGCTTGATCTTCAGTAGAAATCCGTCTTCCTGGACTTGGTGCTCAGCCTTCTTCTGCAACTCCTGCACCAGGCCCTCCAGGAGCTGGGTGGCCTGGGCTCCATCCTGAGGATTGTCCAGGTCGATGGCATCCCACGGCTGGCTCTCAATCCACTGAGCTAAGTAGTGGCGAACCTCGATGGGGAAGTGCTGCCCATAAAGCACCTGCATCTGGCGCAGCGCATCTCCCTGAAGATGCTGGGCCTGGATCCAGCCCACCATGGCGGTTCACCTAGGGCGAGTTTAGAGCTGAAGAGACGCCTCCTGGGCGGAAGCCAAGAGTTGGGTCTCCTGGGCTGCGAGAGCCGTGCCCACTCATCCCTGAACCGCAGCCAGGCCAGGTCCCTCCCCTGCCACAGAAATATTTTCCTGGTGGGACCCGGGCCGGCTCTCTGGTCGCGGCTCTGGTTCCGGCCCGGGATTCTGCTATATCTTTTTTGTTTGATTGTTCCTGTAGCACTTTTCTGAGTTTATCTTTGTTTTCTCAACCTTTCTGTGAAACGTTTGGATGTACTTCAATATCATTCTCCAGAATTGTTTTTTCAGGTAGTTCCAGTGACTCTTCTTCCTCAAAAGCATTTTCTAGCTCTACCTCTTGGTCATTTGTTTGAGTTACTCTGTCTTCTTTTTTCACGTGAATGGAAAAATTCTTCTGTTTTCTAAGCATTGTGGTTTTGTTGTATTTGTATTAAGTTAATGAATGTATGTTGGTGTATTCTTAGGTACTCACCAATTGCCTCCTGGGGTAGTGATCAGGAGATGAGCTTCTGTGTTCAATTCAGAGTGGATTTAGCCAATGTTGGTTGTAGTTGCTACTTGTGTATAGCAACTGGTATTTTCTCTTGTCTAATTGGTGGGATTGTAGGGGATATGATTGTGGCTTCAGTGTATGGCCACAGTTGCTGTCTCCTATTGTGTGATGCAAGAAAAAGGAGAAATATCAAACAAAAACTGAAAAATGAAAGTCAGTGGTTTCTTTCCACCAATAAGTGGTGTGGTCCACCACCTACTGGCCTCTTGCCTTTCACCTGAGAAAGTTCAAAATGGCCATGTTGCATCTGGCAGGCCCACACAGATTGCCAGCCTCCTTTTCTTGCTACCCCCCCATCCCCCCAGCACACTTTTTTTTCCTACCACACACATAGTTTAATCCCTTCTAGTGAGAGAGAGCCAGTTCAGGGCCAGCTAGGGTCAACTTTGCAGATTTGGATCTGAGCCTGCGTCAGTGGGGTATTGTATATGCCCCAAGGCTCACAACCTCCAAATGGCTCCAACCACCTGGAAAATGGGAAAATTCCCTGGGGTTGTATGCTGGTCAGAAAAAAGGAAAAATATGAAATATATTTGCACCTTTGTCTCCGTGAGCCGCAGGTAGGTTTCTGCTATATGTATACGTTTTCTCGTCTCTAAAATTGTTCACGAATTCTCAAGATGGCCACAGCAGGTCCCGTTTGGTTGCCGCTGCTCATCAGTCACCTCCTCTCTTGCCATGCCTGTTCAACTCTCTCTCCCAGTAAACACTTAATCCACTTTTCTATCCTTTCCTCTGGAGCTCAGAATTCCAGGACTGTCTTGTTTGGTTTTCTGTATCCTTGTTGCAGAGAGCCCTCAGTCTTTCTGCCTAGTTGGCCATCTTTCTCCTCCAACTTAGTTTTGCTTTACTTTAAATACTTCTATATCTGGATTGAGTTCTGGGTTTTTCTTTCACGTACGTTAAACTCAAGTTACTGTCTGCTCTTGTTGGTTCTTAGTCCAAGGAACACTGCTTAGCATTTTTTGTAAAGTTTGTCTGGTTATTACAAATTCCTTTAATTTCTTTTTATCTGGAAATGTCCTAGTTTTGCCATCTTATCTGAGGTACAGTTCTGCAGGGTATAGGACTCCTGGTTGACAATTTTTTTATTTCAGAGTTTTGTCTTGCCTGCATGGTTTCTGCTGAGAAATCAGAGCTTAGTCTTAATGGTTCTTCTTTATAGGTAACTTCATTTTTCCCAAGCTGCTCTCAGGATTCTTTCCTTATCTTTGGTCTTGGAAAGTTTGATTATGATATTTATTGGTGATTTTATACTGGGATATATCTTATTTAATGGAACTCATACCTTTTGTGTTCTTCCTCACCTTTTTTTATTCAGTGTTTGTAAGTCTACTGAGTTGATGCGTGTAGCATGTAGTTCATTTACTCCCGTATTTTGTGGTAAATGGAGTACATAGTCAGCATTCTCCTGTTAATAGTTTTTTGTCCCCTAAGTTTTGCTATTATTAACAACACTGCTCTGAACATTTTTGTACCTGCCTCTTGGTACACATGAACAATGTTTTCTTTAGGCATTTATATCTGGGAATGGAATGGAGAAGTGATTAGGATTATGCAACTTTGTAGTTAATGTGCATTTGGTTCCAACTCACAGCAACCCTGTATAGGATTTCTGAGGCGGTAAATCTTTACAGGAGCAAAAAAACCTCATCTTTTTCCCGTGGTACCACTGGTTGTTTCAAACGGCTGACCATGAGATTAGCAGCCTCACTCTACGTAACCACTACGCTATCAGAGCTACCAGGTACTAATTTTGAGGCACCCTGGTAGCTTCAAACCACTTAGCTTAAGGCGCTCAGATGGTAACTGAAAGCTAAGTGGTTTGAACCCACCAGACACTCAGTGGGAGAAAGATAAGGTTGTCTGCTATCATAAAGATTTCAGCCTCAGAAATCCTATGTAGGATCTCTATGAGTTGGAATCAATTTGATGGTAGTGGGTAGTAGGTAGCATTATCTGATACCAAAGTCAGACAAAGACACCACAACAAAAGGAAACTACAGGCCAACATCTATGAATATTCTTAAATGAAATACTAGCAAAAAAAAATCCCACAAGCATGCAACAACAACACCATAGTCAAGTGAGTTTATTCCAGGAATATAAGAGTGATTCCACATTAGAAATCGATCAGTATAATACACTATATTAATAGAAGGTGAGAAATCAACACGTGGTTACCTCAATTGATTCAGAGAAAGCATTTGACAAAATCTAACAACCTCTTATGATAAAAACATTCAGAAAACTAGGAGTAGAAGGGAAATTCTTCAACATGATAAGAAGCATCCACAGCTAACATCAGACTCAGTAATGAGAGATGAAGTTTTCTACTTCAGTTCAACACGATACTGGAAGTTTTAGACAAAGCAATTAGGCAAGAAAAAGAAATAACAGACATTCAAAGTAGAAAGGAAGAAGTAAAATGATTTTTATTCACAAGTGACATGATTCTACATACAGAAACTCCCACAGAAGAATTCACAAAGGGTCGGGCTCCCTTTTGTTGCCAGTGTTTTGTTCTTACTACCTGACACATCTGTATTCTTGTGGTCTCATTTAGTATTCATTGTGTGGGTTTAATGGTCATTATTGTTAAGAGCCATCAAATCAGTTCCAACTCATGGTGACCCTGTATAGAGTTTCTGAGGCTGTAAATCTTTGCAGGAGCAGAAAGCCTCATCTTTCTCCCATGGAATGACTGGTGGGCTCAAACCACCAACTTTGTGGTTTGCAGTCCAGTGGCTGAGTGGTGTCCCCCCAAAAAATATATCCACCTGGAACTTGTGAAGATGGCCTTATTTAGAAAAATGATCTTTAAGAATCTTAAGATGAGATTACCTAAATCCAATAATAAGAAGAGAAGAGGAGAAGATACAGATCCAGGGAGGAGATGGCAAAGGAATGCCTGGCACTTCCAGAAGCTAGATGAGGCAAGGCACCAATTCTCTTTTAGAAATTCCAAGCAAGGCCCTTCCAACACCTCGATGTCTGATGTCTGGACTTCAGAATAAATTTATGTTGTATTTAGCTAACAAGTTTTTGGTTATTTATTACAACAGCCTTAGGACACTCACACAGGCAGGACAGTGCAGTAAGGAGCCAGTGAAGATGTCAGCCAAGGAACCCAGATTGGAGGATTGGAGAAGTCAGGGTAGCAGGATGAAGACTGTTCAAACCCCATCCAGGAAGAAAGTATTCTTCTTGGGCAGAGGGAGTGAGGGTGTCCTGTTCTTGTATGGTCCTGTCACTTACACCCTCCAGCAGCCATAAGGTGGAGAGTATAAGTGACAGGATCATATTAGAAGAGTCCTTAGTTCCCAATGTCCTCAATGGAATGAATGTATTTACTCCAGAGGTCTTTGGGGATCTTATCTGCAGAGGAGAGAGGCTGGAGGAATATACGGAAGATGTTAGGATGATGAAGGAGTGTATGCTTCTGGTGCTGCCCTGAACGGAGACCTCAGCAGAGCAGTCCTGGGCTAGTGGAAAGAAGAAACAGAGTGATGCGAACAAGGACAGAGATGGCAGCAGTATGTGGCAGGGGCCCAGAGAAGAGCACACTAACCTCTAGGAAGCGTTAAGGGTGAACCAGAGTGTAGTTAGGAGCAAGGGGGAAAAGGTCAAAGGGGGCAATGGTATGGAGGTAGACGCCAACAGGCTAAAGGACAATTCTGGGACAGAGCAGTGGGAGGGGGTCTTTGGACTTCTTTGATCCCTGGGCCACTTTGGCTGGGACAGAGCCTTGGGCACCAATGGGGTCATGTCTGTTTAAACAAAATTAAACGTCAGAGGTAAATTATTAACTCACTGGAACAAACAGGAATGGAGGCCATATCTCCAGCACCAGGACTTGAATACTGCCTGGATGTAAAGAATTCCTGCTTTGCAGGGGAGACTGCCACTCAAAGTTACCTTTGGAGAGTGTAAGCATTTGCCTGGCACCTTCTAGAATCAAAGTACAGCAGCAAGTGCTGTGGGGCTGATGACTGTTGTTGTTGTTAAGTGTTGTCGAGTTAGTTCCAACTCATAGCAACCCTGTATAGGGTTTCCAAGGAGTGCCTGGTGGGTTTCTACCACTGACCTTGCAGGACCAATGTTTTATCCTACTGTGCCACACCAGGACTCTGCTGATGACTAGACAGGCAAAATCTGCTCTCCACTCTGATCTGGGGGAATCAGAGTTCAGAGCCAGAGTGATATCCCTGGTCCCCAGGTACTGTGATCTCCGTGACCCACACAGCATCTCATGTCATCCTCACATCCTCTGAAGAAGGGTGAGGATTGCAGCATTTGACAATGTGGAAATTCAAGTTCAGAGAGGGAGAGTAACTTGATTCAGTCACACAGCTTGTCATTAGTGAAGGAAAACAAACAAGGGCTGACCTTAGCACAGAGGGGGATTAGT